TTCTAACTGGTGTGAGGTGATACCTCATTGTAGTTTTGATTTGCATTTCTCTAATAATTAGTGCTGTTGAGCAGCTTTTCATGTGCTTCTTGGCCATCTGTATGTCTTCTTTGAGAAATGTCTATTTAGGTCTTCTGCCCATTTTTGGATTGGGTTGTTTGTTTTTTTAATATTGAGCTGCATGAGCTGTTTATATATTTTGGAGATTAATCCTTTGTCCGTTGATTCATTTGCAAATATTTTCTCCCATTTTAAGGGTTGTCTTTTCATCTTGTTTATGGTTTCCTTTGCTGTGCAAAAGCTTTGAAGTTTCATTAGGTGCCATTTGTTTATCTTTGCTTTTATTTCCATTACTCTAGGAGGTGGGTCAAAAAAGATCTTGCTGTGATTTATGTCAAAGAATGTTCTTTCCTATGTTTTCCTCTAAGAGTTTTATAGCGTCCGGTCTTACATTTAGGTCTCTAATCCATTTTGAGTTTATTTTAGTGTATGGTGTTAGGGAGTGTTTTAATTTCACTCTTTTACATGTAGCTGTCCAGTTTTCCCAGCACCACTTACTGAAGAGACTGTCTTTTCTCCATTGTATATCCTTGCCTCCTTTGTCATAGATTAGTTGACCATAGGTGCGTGGGTTTATCTCTGGGCTTTCTATCTTGTTCCATTGATCTATGTTTCTGTTTTTGTGCCAGTACCATATTGTCTTGATTACTGTAGCTTTGTAGTGTAGTCTGAAGTCAGGGACCCTGATTCCTCCAGCTCCATTTTTTTCCCTCAAGACTGCTTTGGCTATTTGGGGTCATTTGTGTCTCCATACAAATTTTAAGATTTTTTGTTCTTGTTCTGTGAAAAATGCCAGTGGTAATTTGATAGGAATTGCATTGAATCTGTAGATTGCTTTGGGTAGTATAGTCATTTTCACAATACTGATTCTTCCAATCCAAGAACATGGTATATCTCTCCACCTGTTGGTATCATCTTTAATTTATTTCATCAGTGTATTATAGTTTTCTGCTTACAGGTCTTTTGTCTCCCTAGGTAGGTTTATTACTAGGTTTTTTATTCTTTTTGTTGCAATGGTGAATGGGAGTGTTACCTTAATTTCTCTTTCAGATATTTCATCATTAGTGTATAGGAATGCAAGAGATTTCTGTGCATGAATTTTGTATCCTGCAACTTTACCAGATTCATTGATTAGGTCTAGTATTGTTCTGGTGGCATCTTTAGGGTTCTCTATGTATAGTATCATGTCATCTGTAAACAGTGACCGTTTTACTTCTTCTTTCCCAATTTGTATTCATTTTATTTCTTTTTCTTCTCTGATTGCTGAGGCTAGGACTTCCAAAACTATGTTGAATAATAGTGACGAGAGTGGACATCCTTGTCTTGTTCCTGATCTTAGAGGAAATGCTTTCAGTTTTTCACCATTGAGAATGATGTTTGCTGTGGGTTTGTCATATATGGCCTTTATTATGTTGAGGTAGGTTCCCTCTATGCCCACTTTCTGGAGAATTTTTATCATAAATGGGTGTTGAATTTTGTCAAAAGCTTTTTCTGCATCTATTGAGATGATCATGTGGTTTTTCTTCTTCAGTTTGTTAATATGGTGCATCACATTGATTGATTTGTGTGTATTGAAGAATCCTTGCATCCCTGGGATAAATCCCACTTGATCATGGTGTATGATCCTTTTAATGTGTTGTTGGATTCTGTTTGCTAGTATTTTGTTGAGGACTTTTGCATCTATATTCATCAGTGATATTGGTATGTAATTTTCTTTTTTTGTAGTATCTTTGTCTGGTTTTGGTATCAGGGTGATGGTGGCCTCATAGAATGAGTTTGGGAATGTTCCTTACTCTGCAGTTTTTTGGAAGAGTTTGAGAAGGATGGGTGTTAGCTGTCCTCTAGATGTTTGATACAATTCACCTGTGAAGCCATATGGTCCTGGACTTTTGTTTGTTGGAAGATTTTTAATCACAGTTTCAATTTCATTACTTGTGATTTGTCTGTTCATATTTTCTATTTCTTCCTGGTTCAGTCTTGGAAGGTTATACCTTTCTGAGAATTTGTCCGTTTCTTCCCGGTTGTCCATTTGATTGGCTTAGAGTTGCTTGTAGTAGTCTCTGAGGATGCTTTGTATTTCTGCGGTGTCTGTTGTAACTTCTTCTTTTTCATTTCTAATTTTATTGATTTGAGTCCTCTCCCTCATTTTCTTGATGAGTTTGGCTAATGGTTTAACAATTTTGTTTATCTTCTCCAAGAACCAGCATTTAGTTTTATTGATCTTTGCTATTGTGTTCTTTGTTTCTTTTTCACTTATTTCTGCTCTGATCTTTATGATTTCTTTCCTTCTGCTAACTTTGGGTTTTCCTTGTTCTTCTTTCTCTACTTCCTTTAGGTGTAAGGTTAGATTGTTTATTTGAGATTATTCTTGTTTCTTGAGGTCGGCTTGTGTAGCTATAAACTTCCCTCTTAGAACTGCCCTGCTGCATCCCATAGGTTTTGGATTGTTGTGTTTTCATTGTCATTTGTCTCTAGGTATTTTTTGATTTCCTCTTTGATTTCTTCAGTGATCGCTTGCTTATTTAATAACGTAGTGTTTAGCCTCCATGTGCTTGTGTTTTTTACGTTTTTTCCCCTGTAATTCATTTCTAATCTCATAACGTTGTGGTCAGAAAAGATGCTTGATATGATTTCAATTTTCTTAAATTTACCGCGGCTTGATTTGTGACGCAAGATGTGATCTATCCTGGGGAATATTCCATGCGCACTTGAGAAGAAAGTTTAATCTGCTGTTTTGGATGGAATGTCCTATAAATATCAATTAAATCTATCTGGTCTATTGTGTCATTTAAAGCTTCTGTTTCCTTATTTATTTTCATTTTGGATGATCTGTCCATTGGTGTAAGTGAGGTGTTAAAGTCCCCCACTATTATTGTGTTACTGTCGATTTCCTCTTTTACAGCTGTTAGCAGTTGCCTTATGTATTGAGGTGCTCCTATGTTGGGTGCATATATATTTATAATTGTTAATAGCTTCTTGTTGGATTGATCCCTTGATCATTATGTAGTGTCCTTCCTTGTCTCTTGTAACATTCTTTTTTTTTTTTTTTTTCAAGCATAAAACAATACCCATTTATTATCTCACAATTTCCATGCGTTCAGAGTACAGACATAGCTTAAGGTGGATTTTCTGCTCAGGGTTTCACAGCACTGCAGTCAAGGTGTTTGTTGCTCAGGGCTGTGTTCTTATCTGAGGCTCAGGGTCCTCTTCCAAGCTCATGTGGTTTTTGGCCAAATTAATTTTCTTACTGCTATAGAATCCATGGTAGTTTACTTCTTCAAAGCCAACAGGAGAGAAAACCTCTGAACCTCTAGATCATCTTTTAAAGGGCTTGCCTGCTTACGTCAGGCCCACCTGGGTCAATCTTCCTTCTGATTAACTTAAAGTCAAATGATTATGGGACTTTACATAATCAAAGTCCCTTCACCTTTGCCAAACATATAGGTAACCTAATCACTGGAGTGGCCATCCCATCATACTCATGAGTCCTGATCAGATTCAAGGGGAGGAGATTACACAGGGTGTGAGCATGAAGGGGCCACCTTACAATTCTGCCCACCACAAATGCTATCTTGCATTTCTGAAGATCATATTTTAGCTACTAAGACCCAAGCTTGGAGTCAGATAATAAGTTAAAAATGGCCTGTGAAGTATCCAAATAATCAAGCAGTAACTAGCAATGACAGCAGGGATGATGCAGCAAAACAACAAAAACATTTTTAAAAAGAAAATACAAGCCTCGAATACACAGCAGTTTGAGGTTGTAAGTGTAGTAGGCACAGACTCTACATACCTCACTAGAGCCTGAGGGCATCATCAAGTTGTGAGGAGACAGCCTAACGTCAGAAAAGTTCAATTTTGTTCTAGGTGCCCTGGTTAAGAAAGCAAGAATGTTTACAGTTCAGCCTCAGAAAAATTTTCCTTCATATGGTTGACATCAAAGGACAGCTAAGCTTCAGTTACCTGGAAAATTAATTTACATGGAATGACCCTGCAGTGAAGCAGAGTGTATGGAGCTCTCTTGTGAGACTTAGAGTGTATTTTCAGGTTGGGCAGTTCAAGATGAGGGATGCAGGAGAACTCAGAGGTTAAGGTCAAGATCTAGGTTATGAGTGGCATCACTTCAGAGAAGGTGACAAGCAATGACATCTGGAGCAAGGAGCCTGGGCTCTCTTTCTCTGCCTGGAAGATCTCTCAGCACAGGGTTGCCTGAGGCCAAAGCTAGGCAGTCAGCTTTTTAGAGAAAGACACGGTAACTGCCAAGCTGTGGATTCAGCTGCAGAGCCCTGGGGGCCAAAGCTGGGCCTCTGTTCTGATGCAGCTCTTTCCCCAAAGCTGGTGGCTTTCTTCAACTTCCAAATTCAACTCATCTGCTCTTTTGGGTGCCCAAGAGATCAGGAAAAGGAGATACTTCACATACAGACTTTTCTGTTGTTATTTCCAAAGCAGTTACATACTTAGATTTTCTAATTTTCCTGTTGTGCCTTCTCCCAACGAAGACGTGGTAGAAATATTCTCCGGGAAGGTGAGAAGTTCAGAGAAGTAATTTCCTAATGTTCACAGGAACATTTTCAAAGCGAGTTCTATTTTAAAAAGTATTACTTGTGCACCTTGGAGTTAATGTGTCCCAAACTGAGCTCTTGATCTTCCTGCCCAAAGCTGCTCTTTTAGTATTCTTCCAAATCTCAGTAAATGGCACCCCCATCCTTGCTGTAAACCTTGCAGTCATCCTTGACTTCTCTCCCTCACTTCTCATCTGACCCATCAGCAAATTCTAGTGGCTTCAGAGTACGTCCAGAATCTAACCATTTCTCATCATTTCCACTGCTACCTCCCTGATACGTGCTACTTCCATCATCTCTCACCTGGATCACGGAGCAGCCTCCTAAAGGGTCTTCCTGCATTGGGCCTTGATCCTCTTCTGTCTCATTTCAAAATAGCAGCCCCAGCAATCCTCTGCCTTCGCCCAGTGCTCGGCTACCATTTCCTTCCGTCTTTGCTCCGCTCTCTGTTTAACGGCGCGCGCCAGGCAAGACCGGGAACGGAGGCCGCAGGGCTCTCCAGGCCAGGTTCGTCCCTGGATCCCACCCCGCGGGGGGCCGTGCAGCTCCCGGCGCTCTGGCCGCTGACCAGCGCCCGCAGTCTGAGCCGAGGTTGCCGCAGCGCCAGTAATGTCGGGGCCCAGGCTGGAAGGACACGGCGTAGGGACGCTGGGAGCCAGCCGGCTGCCCCCGCGCCCGCCCCCTGGCCGCAAATCCCTTGATCCCTTGATCATTATGTAGTGTCCTTCCTTGTCTCTTGTAACATTCTTTATTTTGAAATCTATTTTATCTGATATGAGTATTGCTACTCCAGCTTTCTTTTGATTTCCATTTGCATGGAATATCTTTTTCCATTCCCTCACTTTCAGTCTGTATGTGTCCCTAGGTCTGAAGTGGGTGTCTTGTAGACAGCATATATATGGGTCTTGTTTTTGTATCCATTCAGCTAGCCTGTGTCTTTTGGTTGGAGCATTTAATCCATTCAAGTTTAAGGAAATTATTGATATGTATGTTCCTATGACCATTTTCTAAATTGTTTTGGGTTTGTTTTTGTAGGTCCTTTTCTTCTCTTGTGTTTCCCACGTAGAGAAGTTCCTTTAGCATTTGTTGTAGAGCCGGTTTGGTGGTGCTGAATTCTCTTAGCTTTTGCTTGTCTGTAAAGCTTTTGGTTTCTCCATCGAATCTGAATGAGATTCCTGGCAGGTAGAGTAATCTTGGTTGTAGGTTCTTCCCTTTCATCAGTTTAACTATATCATGCCACTCTCTCCTGGCTTGTAGAGTTTCTGCTGTGAAATCAGCTGTTACCCTTATGTGAGTTCCCTTGTATGTTGCCACTTTTCCCTTGCTGCTTTCAGTAATTTTTCTTTGTCTTTAATTTTTGCCAATTTGATTACTATGTGCCTCAGCGTGTTTCTCCTTGGGTTTATCCTGTATGGGACTCGCTGTGCTTCCTGGACTTGGGTGGTATTTCCTTTCCCGTGTTAGGGAAGTTTTCGACTATAATCTCTTCAGATATTTTCTCGGGTCCTTTCTCTCTCTCTTCTCCTTCTGGGACCCCTTTAATGCGAATGTTGTTGTGTTTAATGTCGTCCCAGAAGTCTCTTAGGCTGTCTTCATTTCTTTTCATTCTCTTTTCTTTATTCTGTTCCTCAGCAGTGAATTCCACCATTCTGTCTTCCAGGTCACTTATCCGTTCTTCTGCCTCAGTTATTCTGCTATTGATTCCTTCTAGTGTGGTTTTCATTTCAGTTATTGTATTGTTCTCATCTCTGTTGGTTTGTTGTTTAATTCTTCTAGGTCTTTGTTAAACATTTCTTGCATCTTCTCGATCTTTGCCTGCATTCTTTTCCCGAAGTCCTGGATCATTTTCACTAACATTATTCTGAATTCTTTTTCTGGAAGGTTGCCTAGTTCCACTTTATTTCGTTGTTTTTCTGGTGTTTTATCTTGTTCCTTCATCTGGTACATAGCCCTCTTCCTTTTCATTTTGTCTGTCTTTCTGTTAATATAGTTTTTCTTCCACAGGCTGCAGGATTGTAGTTCTTCTTGCCTCTGCTGTCTGTCCTCTATATAACATTCTTAAAATGACTAAATTATAGAGATGGAGAACAGGTGAGTGACCACCAGAGGTTAGAGATAGTTGGGGGCGGGAGGCGGTAGGTATAACTAGAAAGCGGTAGCATGAAGTCACTGATTTAGAGCATACGTTGTGTCCTGAAGGATGGCACCCCATCATTGCAAGGTACCCCTTCCAAATTTGCACTTTAGCTATTCCTTCAGTAGGTCATTCCAGCTAGCTGCTTCTGGTTTGTATGGCATTTGATATAACCAGTGGATCCCCCTCACATAGATGCTTTGCTCTAAAATGATGACTTCCTCTGTAAACCTCCAGTGGTAGAGTTGGCCTAGACCCTGTGGGCAGGGGAGACAAACCCATATCTGAATATGTATCTCTTATTGTCAGAGTGAAGCACTTCCCCTTCCAGGATGACAGGAGTCCAATGTAATCACCCTGCCACCAAGTGACTGGTTGACCTACTTGAAGGGTGGTGCCATATCAGGGACATATCCTTGGTGACTGCGGCTAGCAGGTTGGACATTCAGCAGCAGCATGGGCAAGATCAGCCTTTGTAAGTGGGAGGTGTGTTGTTGGTGCTATACAGTCTCCACCCCTACTGTGATTACTCTATTCACGAGACTGTTGTATTGGCACTGGCACGGCCAATGGTAGGGGCTGGCTGATGTCAACTGGATTTTTAATGGTTCTTCCAGGGTGGGTATTAACATGAAATACTAAAGTCTCCATATTTCAAGCTTATTCCCATTTGTCCATCCACATCCCTCTGCCCTCTACCTCTTCTTTGTCCCTGACCTTCCCATCTGTTTCCTCCCAAACTTTTGATCACCTGGCTATGCCATTTGCCACTGCCCATGGGTCTCTGTGAGTTCTAACCTCTGACTATTTCTCTTGTCACACAAAGTAGATGACCAGATTCACTGCCAGGCTCTGCTCATTGAGAGGATTTCCCCTCACCACTGTCTTCAGGTTCACCCATGAGCGTGAACAGTCATCTGTTTTTGGCTTATACTCACATCCAAACCAACCCATCTATGAACTGAACTTAGGCTTCTTTTCTCCTTTGTTACCTGGTCGTAAGGGATCGCCCCGACGTGGCCACATGTATGCGCTGATGGAGAAGCAATCTTCAGCTGCAGCAATTTCCAAAGAGGGCTGACAGCTGGCACCAGTCCCAGCAGCTAGGAGGAATGTCTTGAAGGAGAATCTGAAGGATGTACTGTAGTGTCCAACAAAAGTATCAACTACGGCTAAAGATATACCTACCCTATCACCCAGACATTCCTCTCTTAGGTAAACATGGAAAAGAAATGAGTGTATTTGTCCAACAGCAACAAAGAAAAATATAACAATTTTCATAGCAGCTTTATTCATAATAGCCCCAAGCTTGAAACAACACAAATGACCATGAACAGGAGAAAAGATAAATGAATCAGAATGTTGTCATACAATGGAATATGAAACCACAATGTAAAAGAACAAACTGCTGATAGGTACAATAATATGGATGAATCTTACAAACAGTATGTTGAGTGAAAAAGCCAGAACCCAAAGAGTATAGACTGCCTGATTTCATTTCTGTAATTTATCAAGGACAGGCAAAACTCACTTATTGTGTTAGAAGTTAAGAATACTTCTGGCAGAGGTTGGTGGGTGTTGCCTGGGAACTTTCTGGGATGGTGGAAATATTCTGTCTCTTGATCTGGAGGTTGGTTATGTTGAAATAGATATATGTATGTAAAAATTCATGAAGCTATGTGGGTGAGATTTATTTGTGTACTTTACACACTTCACTTAAAAAAAATTTTATACCTCAGTTTTTAAAAACTGCAAATAAGTAGCATATGCAAGTGAAACAAGAAAATAATAGTGTGCAGTAAAAAAGATATACTGTGTGTTTCTTAATTTATGACACCTCTGCTTTGACTTTCTCAGCCATTTTTTAATAGGCAAAGCCTCAGGCCATAAACACTATGTAAATCCCACTTTGCTATCAATAAGTTACATAGAGTTACAGTGTTGTGAATTTACCTGATGTGATTCTATTTGGGTCTTCGGGTTTCTGCTCAACCATCCTGCATCTACAGCAGCATCTTCTCTCTGACCTTCCTGGAATAATTTCCATTTCTGGAGCAAACTGCATTCTACAAAATATAAACATGCTCCAGTTCCCTTCCCTGTACCTCTAAATCTTCTCCTGTGGCTGGTGTCCTGTGTCTTTTATATTAGAGGCATTTGATGTCACTATTCCTCAGCTATTTTCAATTACCCTGTCACTTCCCTTTCCTCATCCCCCAAGGCTTTCTGTGTGTGGATGATTTAGCAGGACTCAGTAATCAGGTATTTAAAGGGACCAGCTTCTTTTGCAACAAGACAAGTTTTTCTACACAAAATTAAGCCCAGTTAACACCATGATATGAGTTATGCACAGCCTTGTTCCCATGGTGAATATGTCAGGCAATGATTTATCTGTTGGGGATAGGCAGGTGTGATGGGAGCATTCTATTCAAGTTATTTAACCATTTTCTTCGTCTGTAAAATAGAGAAATAATGAGGGGTAATAGGATTGCTGTGGAAATTATGCCAGTAGATATAAAACACTAAAACAGTTCCTGACAATGGTGAGTACCTTAATGAGAATTCTGATCTGAAGCACGATGCTCACTGAGCATGTGCAGAACACATCCATGGAAACCGGCAACAGCAGGAAAATGTCTCTTGTGTAAATAAATGCGCCTCACTTGGGAAGGACGAGTCCCAAACAGGAAATGATCTCCTGTTGTTAACAGGCAAGACAGAGAGAATGATTTAAGTTACATGGAGAGAATTTCTTTAAAGACTGAGCTGAATTAATTATTAAAGACGTACGTGGTGTGTAGGCAGGATAATATCAAGGAGTTTTAAATTATTTACACTTTATTGCTGTCTGTCTGTGGGCATCTGACATGCCTCATCTTCTACTGGGGGATTCTGCAGAATGTTCTTAGCCCAGAATATTTCCTGATAATGCACCTCCCTGAGAAGATCTTGAAGCTTCTTACTCATTTAAAATAATCAGTGTCTTGAATTCCCTATTACCAAGATTCTGCTTTGGGGAATATCTTCTTTCAGGTTGCAGATTGTACCTTCGATTTTAAGATGTGTGAGATGGAAGCACTGTTTGCAAGGGACATGTTAGTTCTGAATGAACAATCAACTCTCTACCATTTCTGAACATCTTGATATGGTGATAAAAACAGTATGAGGAAGGTTTCCCTTTTCAGATGCACCTCACTGCTTCTTCCCCTTGGGTTATTTCCTGGTGCCTTGGAGTTCCAAATTGTCCAAATATGCCCATGTACTGTACTGTGGTAATAAAAGTTAACCAACTATTGTGTCTTACCTACACGTCTCCTGGGCCCGATGCATGTGTATGGGAAGGGAACTGAAAAGTTCTCATGGTACCAAGCTGCACAAATATGAGAAGAAGTTGAATGTTTGTGACCATCTATGAAGAGAATTTTGAAAAGGGTTGAGGGCTCAGTGACTAACCTGGGGCTCTTTCTCATCTTTAAGTGTAAGTAGAGAATGAGAGGCATAAAAGTCCTGTGCAGATAAGTTGTCATGGGGTCTTTTGAGCACCCCAGCTTCCCAACCTTGCTCTGT